AAGCAGCACAAGTTCTCAGACTTTTAGCAGCAAATGTACCAGTAGAGGGTACCAAGTAAGAGAAGAGTATTATAATTATAGGACTGTTGCAACTGCTGATTGATAGGTGTAAAAGAAAACCCAGGATTATTAGTATTGCTATCCAGGTCCACTTTACCAGTACAGCAGCCTGCAAACAATTGAGCAAAATCCCAAAGGAAACCAGAAATAAGACTGGAGCCCAAAAAAGTAATAGATACTGTTTTTGGATGATTTGAACCCTTATTGAATCATTTCAACAAATTTAGGCTTAAAAAGAAAACCATGCTAAGAGTTTTTARTTTTCCAAGATACCAACTTTTTCTGCATGCCTTTCAGTATCTAAATAATTGTGATAAAAAATTGTTTCCAAACAAAATGTGATACTATCATCAATTTTTAAAAACTATAATAGCATACAATAAATAGTTTTCATTAAAAAATAATAGAAAGACTAGAGGGAGTGAAAATATGCTAATTTTTTCACCATCTATGCAGGGAAACATTAGGCAGTGTTTTATTTCTGAGGTTAAATTTCAAGAGATAAAAATTCAAGCATTTATTTAAAGATTAAAAAGTTGGTTACTAATAGGATGACAAGAAGTTTTTTGAATTATTAAAGTAGGATTTAATGAAAAGTCACTGGTTTAAAAATGGAAAAAAATAAAAATAAAAGAAATACAATGAAAGAGATGAAGAAATGAGAAAAAAAGAACAAGTATACTAGGTTACATCATAAATAAAATCTAAGAATATATGTCTGAAAGAAAGACGAGTGAAACAAACCAACTCTGTTAAAATAAGTGGAAGGCAAAGATATACCAGGAAAATACAAGTAGAAGTTGCAATTAGCAGGAAAATAATCTTAGGAGAAGAGTGTTAAAATAGAAAAGTATTGAATTAGCCAGGCACAATGGCACATGTCTGTACTCTCAACAACTTAGGAGGCTGAGGCAGGGGGATTGAAAGTTCAAGACCTTAGCAAATTAGTGAGGCCCTAAAGCAACCCAACTCAATTTAAAAATATTATATCTTTTAATCATTTATCTGTTGATGGGCATCTAGGCTGGTTCTATAATTTGGCTGTTATGAATTGTGCTGCTATAAACATTGATATGTATATATCATTGTAGTATGATGATTTTAATTATTTTGGATAAATACCAAGGACAGGAATAGCTGGTTATATAGTAATTCCATTTCTAGTCTTTTGAGGCATCCCCATACGGATTTCCAAAATGCTTGTACTAATTTGCAGTCCCATTAACAATGTATGAATATACCTTTTTCCAACATCCTCATCAGTATTTATTATTATTTGTAGTCTTGATGATCAATGTTCTAACTGAAACAAGATATGAAATTTTTGTGTAGTTTTGATTTGCATTTCCCTGATTCTCTGATTGCTAAGGATATTTAACTTTTTTCATATATTTGTTGGCCATTTGCATTCCTTCTTTTGAAAAATGTCTCTTTAGATCATTTGCCCATTGGTTGAAGTGTTACACACACACAAACACACACACACAAACACACACAAACACACACACACACACAATGGAGTATTACTCAGCATTAAAAAAAGATAAAATTAGGTAATTTGCTGGCAAATTGGTAGAACTGGAGAACATCATGCTAAGAGAAACATCATGCTAAGCCAGACTCATGAAATCAAGGATTGAATGATTTCTCTGATCTGTAGAAGTTAGAGGGGGGAAAAATGGAATAAGAAAGAACCTCAAGAAAATAGAAAGGTGATCAACAGAGTAGAGAGAAGGGAATTGAGAGAGAGAGAGAGAGAAAAGAAGGGCCTGGTGAAGGATTGGTAAATGAAATTGACCCAAATTATGCTACATTCACATARAATATATCACAATGAATCCCACTTTTATAATTAAATAAATTGTATTAATTATAATTAATACATAATTAATTATATTTATAATCAACTAAATAATTATTATATTAAAAATAATAGAAGGAATTGGGGTTATAAGTTGTAAAATTTCCAAGTACTTTTTTGGCATTTGTATTTCTAATCTTCTTGAATTATATATTTGTGTCTTTTCCATATTTAGATATTGAGGTGCTTGCTGATCTGTAATCTAGGTTTGATTCTACATACTTCTGTCATGAATGTGAGTGCTCTACCTTGTAGAAACTAAAGGAAAACCAAATGCCAGCATTTATTTTCTAATCCACTCCTTATTACAGACCTGATTCAAAAGCTTTAGCTTTTCCGTCTAAATTCTAAGTTGCATTAGGGCCAAATTCTATGCCTTTACCACATAGCTATTTTAACCAGAGTAACACTTCAAGCCTTCTCAAACTTTCTCTCACTTTGTGGCAGAGCCTCCATCTCAATTACTTGTTATATACTAAGTAATTGTTACATACAAGTCCTCCAAATTATCTCCTTATGGTGTCCCAGAAAATTACTTCAGGAAGATACATTTAAACTTGGAATTGAAATGAAGTCTTCAATAATATAAATCATTCTAAATAACCCAGGTAGTGTCTATTTTTTTAGCTCATATTTTTWAATTTTTCAGTGGAGCAGAAAATATTCCAATAGTTTTTTGGAAAGACTCATTCTTTGTACATGGCCCTACATTCACACAGAACACCATGTGAAACACTTACATTGCCTAAATAAGTGGGAATCACAACAAAAATATTGACCTGAGCCTTAGTTTTGACCATGTTCAAGTATTCTCACTTTTTTCTGTCTTTGGTGGATTGGGAAATCTCCTGGAATTGGAACCCTCTTTCATTGACTTAGATCTTCACCTTGTCTAGATCTTCCCAATGCTGGTATTCTCGACAAGCAATGAAAGTACTATCTGTACTTGTCATTATRTTGCAATTAACTCTGGACTTGATTGTTGAAGCTTGGGCCTATCCAGCCATGACTGGATTTGCTGCACCTTCAGAAGTATCCAGATTATTCTTTACTCTGCTAACTTAGACTTTAATCTTTCCCTCTGGACACTTAGGGAGACTTTTATCACTTGATTTAATTTGACATCTAAATAGCTCCTTCTGAAAATATCCTATTCATTTACTTATTCAGCAGATCTATATGAAACCTTTACTCTGTGCCTGACAATGGCTGTCCATACTTTGATTTTGTTTCCTAGAAATTTTTAAAAATTGTATTATAGGAAACCTTAATAAAGAATTCATAACTTCTTTGTGAGCAATCATCTGGAAAAAAAACTTAAAGCACTTCTGCTATAACTTCTTAGTTTACCTAATGAGGTTAGACATACATTTGCCAAAGGGGACTGATTTTGAAAACAACAGAACTTGAATGACCAGAACCAATAAAGCAGGAAAAACCTGAGGCAGAATGAGACTGAGAAGAGGTCTGGTTGATGAAGGGCTTAGCTGGGCTTGAATTTGATTAAAGGTAATTCTACAGGAACGTTGAAATTGTTTAATTGGAAATTATTTAAGGAGATTTGATCTTTTTTCTAATGAAGAGCCACCCTCAAGGATAGTGCACGTATACTATAATTTCTTTTAACTGCTGCTGAGAATGTCTGAGTTATTTTGTTAAAGTCACAGTGGCTTTTACAGAAAGAGTTCCCCTGGGAGGGAGCTTAAATTATGACCAATTAGAAAATTAACATATCATGTTACTTTTGGTTTTGAAATTTAACTTTTGAAAATTACTGACATTAGTAAAAAAAATAAATAAAATAAAAAAATAAATAAATAAAATAAAATTACTATGGTAAATGATGAATGGTGTGTTCTAAAATCATGCACTGGATTCTTCGCATTTGTAGCAAAGTTCACATCATTCAGTGGTTGCCTTGACCTTCACACAAGAAATCTTAAGGGACAGACCGTTGAGTAAATAACATTCATGTTTGCAGTGGTTTCAGGTTTTCCGTGTAACATTTTTCCTCAGTGTTACCCGCTGGACTTCCTTATTCAAAACTAAGGCCAATACAGCTTCTTGCCGAGGTGGTATTTATAAGACATCCTGCAGAGCTAGCTTTATGGAAGGTAATATTGGACAGGCCTCATCTAGCGGATTTATTCAGAATCTAGTATAATACAATCTTGAACTTCATGAGACTCAAATATCATACTTAATGGAAAAAATGACAAAGAAAATGCTGGAAATTGGGACTGGTGAGGACTCCAATGTATTGATATYATGAGGAGAGTCACTAGAATACCTTAAAATAACTGAAGAACTTTGCTCAAAGCAATGCTGCTATCACCATTCTTTCTTCCTTCTGTCACTTCTTCTATAAATCTGCTGCCAGATGGACTTTACATGGCAGCCCAGGAAACTGAGTCCTCAGGGGACTGGAGTGAAGTGGGAGCTTATTTTTGGTAGGTAAAATGTTCTACTCTCCTTCACTTAGCAACAAAACAATTGAATGATGTGGATTGGAACAACAGAAGTGCCAAGAAGCCTTAAATTGGGTGGGGTTGTGGCTCAGTGGTAGAGCTATTGCCTCTCATTGGGTTCCAGTCTCTGTGTTAAAAAAAAAAGAAGAAGAAGAAGAAGAAGAATATGAAGAAATCCTCCTTAGTTTACACTAACAGAGCCTTGCGGTTGACAGTAGAATCTGCAACTAATTGAATGTGCCAATCATGATTCCCTCTTTATACAGTTCATTCTTATGAAATGGTTTTGTTTGTATATCTAGATTTTTTAAGTTCATTTGATGTTGCTTTTCAGTTTCTTCCCCCCTTCCTGGTTGAGGATAACATTATGACACAACTTAGTAAAAATAAGGAAATGATGGTTACCAGGCTTCTTAACATGTATTTTCAATTATGGCATCATAAATCAAACTGGATTTCAGTAATGTATTCTAGTTGTTTGTCTAAAATGAGATAATAGAAAATTATAACTTGGGGAAAAAGTGACAAGTGTCTGAAATTTTAATGCCATATTTTTATAGCAGTCAATTTTAATAAGCAACCAAAATATGATTTTTTTGTTTGTCTTTCAGCTGTTTACCTCTGCAAAAGAACAATGCAAAATAAGGCAAGACTAGAACTTGCAGATTATGAAGCTGTAAGTACCAAGGACTTTCTAGCAATTTTTTAAAAAAGGCATAAAATGGGCAGGAACAAAACCTATGGTCATTTCTGAGTACTCCAGTAACTTTCTACATTCATGGATCTTTTTTTTTTTTTTTAGATGTTGGTGGACCTTTATTTTATTCATTTATTTATATGCAGTGCTGAGAATCAAACTCAGGCCTCACACATGCTAGACAAGTGCTCTTACCACTGGGCCACAGCTCTAGCCCCATACATTCATGTATCTTAAGGATCAGATTTCTGTGGATCAGGCAGCAAATTCCTTCATAAATCCCTGTTTGCTTGCTTCCTCTCTTCATCCACATCAAGGACAGTGAAATTCCAAATACACAAATTCAATGTAGAAGAGAGAAACATATTTTATTTTCTAAAATTGATTTACCTGTAAATATTTCAAATAAATACTAACGCAAAGATWTCCAAACTCTGAGAATTAAAGACCATTTATATTAGAAACATGTTTTTTATTGCAAAAAACAGGGTGTTTGCTAGCAGCAGATAAAATTAACCTGATATAATTTGTTCAAACGGTTACTGTGTTGTGATTGATGAACTTCAAATCAYTGAGTAGAAATAAGTACTGGGCTGCCAAGGGTCTACATTTATTGTTAGGAGAAGAATAAACTAAATCTGGGCTAGGAATGAATTGTTTTCCTGTTTCTCCATAAAATGAACACAGAAAAATCCAGTGGATTCATCTGGAACACTTTTCTCATACAAGGTAATTTCACTATTTTGCAGACACATATTGGATTTATAGTTGTATTATCTAAAGTCAGTCATTMTTAAAAGTTAATATTATTTTTTTGTTCTGTTTCCTCCAAGACAATATGAGGATTGACTGATTTGATGAGCATGACTTGTCATTCAGAACCAGAGTACACATAGAGAAATTCTATATTTGTCTTTTTCATAAACATATGATAAATAAACTAGATAGGGTAGTACAGGTGAGCAACAAATCTTCTTCATCTGTGGGATATTTTTCAGGAGAGCCTGGCCCGGTTGCAGAGAGCATTTGCAAGGAAGTGGGAGTTTATATTTATGCAAGCAGAAGCACAAGCAAAGTGAGTCCTTGTGAGTCTTTTGGAAAATTTGTTCAAGTYGTGGCCTTTTGTCCAGAGGGGCACTGCACTTATCACTACTTATTCTTTATTGTTTTGATGTCAACAGAGTGGACAAGAAGAGAGACAAAATTGAAAGGAAGATCCTTGATAGCCAAGAGAGAGCATTCTGGGATGTCCACAGACCTGTGGTAAGAAAACTGCAAGGTTCTCACAAATCTACATTCTGACTTTTAGCAAGTCAGGGATGCCCTGAGAAAGCAAGGAAAAGACTGTTACACCCCCCATCATATGTCCCACAATGGCTGCATGAATTAGTTAAAGAAACATGGCACTTTGGTTAAGATGACCCAATTTAATAGTGTAATATTTAATTTATGAAACTATGCATTAGTACACACCTGTAATTTGGTTACTTGGGAGGCTGAGGCAGGAGGATCACAAGTTCAAGGCCAGCCTTRGCAACTTAGAGAACCTGTCTCAAAAACAAATTTATTTTTMAAAAAGGGGCAAGAATGGTTGGGCAGGATGTACCTCATTAAGAGAGCTCTTGCCCAGTATGTACAAAGTCCTGGAGTGAATCCCCAGCACCAGAGAAACAGGGAATCATACCTGATCATTTTTTCAAATATGGCATCTTTTTTCCATTCATGCTTGATATTTGATATTTGAGGTGTTTGATGCTGCTATAAACACYTGAAGAAAAAAACACTGCAATAAAGCAGTCTTTTATGGCAGTAAGCTGCTTATAACTTTTGGCTTTATAGGGAAAGTATAAGTTAAAATGTTATTCCTGCCCTAATTTTTCTTTTTTGAAACATATTAATAACCTATTGTTGATTTGCACAGTCTAACATTTTATATGTCTCAAATTAAAATCAATTGATATTTTTAATGATGGAACACTGGATCTGTATACAGTTACTATACCCAGTAACTTCTCCCTTAATAAAGTTAAACTATGTGCCTCAGAGTAACAAATAATGAATGTCCTTAATTAATACCAGAAAACTTTGTGGAAGATATTAAACTATGGTAATAACCATCCATAAGATAGCCTGTCTAATCTCATTTRTTCTTTTCTATTTTGATGTGATATCTTTTTCTCCTCTGGATTTAACTTCAGACAAAGCATCAGAAAATAATATTTGCATAAGTATTACTAGACTAAATATCAGTATGAGAGATAAATCAAGACAAATCATTTAAGAATACCCTAAAAATTTCTTCTCAATTACCTTCAGAGTCAGACCAAAATAAAACCACTATAAAGGGTTGTTTTTGTAAAGGTATGTATTTCAACTTCAGATAGAAAGGCAATCATTAAGTTCTATTTTAAATTTGCTTTCTGTTTATTTATCAAGATAGAATTGAGAATTAATTGATTTTTCTATTAAAAATTCAGTTTGAGTTTTATTACACTGAAAAAGAATTGTGAGGTCACACACATGCTACATAGCAAGGGTATGAAGTAGGACTTTTACTTGTTCGTTTGTTTTAGGCAACTCCTAGAAACTAGTCAATACATTATGTCCTGTATTCATCTACTTTGTGCCTCTTGGATATCTATCTGGTGGCCAATTTATTTCTTTGTTTAGTTTACATGAYCTAKAACTTCCTATTATCCCAAATGACTCATACCAGGCTGGCTTCCCTTTCCTGCTCACTTATGTTCCATGCTTTGAGATGCCCAAATCTAAATTGATCCAACATACTTCTTGGCTCCATTGCCTAAGAATCAACTCAAGCAGAACCTACCCACAGTTGTTTCCCTTAAAACATGTGAGCCATACTCATATCCTCCATGTCTCCTACCAGCAAAGAGCACACCGAGTGCTCTCCATGTCCCTGCCCCATTCAACTAGAAAGTCAAACCAAGGAGGGCCTGAAGCAGGAACCACCCTGAAGCCATTAACTTTATCTCCCTTACTTAACTTGAAGATGCTTATGGAGAGCTTTATATCACCTAGATGGTGATGAGATCTGAAAGCCTATATGAAAGATTTAAAGTTAAACAGATATTCCAAGAGCTGAGTTTCTTCTTCATACCCTGTCTTGACTGTGGCAACAATGACTCTTTCTGCCCTGTTGAAGTCATCTTGTAAAGTTCAGATGTCTTCTAGACAGAATTGGTGAAACCAGGTTTTGCTGACACCAAATTATTTTGACTAGAGAAGCCTGAAACGATGTGTAGGTAAATTCCAGACAGGACAGAGGTTGAATCTGGCTTGTCCTTGGACCCTCTATTGCATACCACCCTTCTGTCTTAGTATCTGAGAGAAGGTCCAGTTGTGTCCACTTTCAGTTTTTACCATGTTGGCCAAAGTCTAGTAGCCAAGGGAAATGGGGAGAACTGGAGCAGAGTGGGAAGCAATGGCCTTTTGGGATTCAGAGGCCTATTTGTAAAGTGGAAACATACCTATCTTGCCATGTTGATATGAACATTCATATAAACATCATTTGGCACATGAATAAAAACAAATGTTCAACTTCCTTTGTAAAGAGATACAGAGACTAGTACAAAAAAAAGTTATACAAACAATGGAATACAGTAAATTTTCCATGATATTTATACAATGTGATACCTACATATCATTGGTTGCACAAATGTCTACCCATCTAGCAAAACAGAATTAAAAAGAATCACATCCTTCTTTTTTAGTTCAGGGGTCATAACCAGAATAATTTTTCTATATTTTAATTGGTGCATTATAATTATATGTAATATTTTGATTCATTTTTTACACATTCTTACATGTACACAATATAATAATATAATTTAGTCAATATCATTCTCTAGTATCTTTTCTCTCTCTCCTCTCTCCCCCTAGTCTTCTTCCTCTACACTGATAAAACAAATCTATTACATTGCTGATTTATTCATTTAATACAACTTTCAATTAGCAATTAGCTTGTTGCACTAGAGGGTAAAGATAAAGTACTGTCTCTCTGATTAAGATATTCAGAGTCCTAGGTAATCAAGATAGAGATTTAACTAGGTAATTATGGTGCAAATATCATAATGGGCTGTACAGCATAACTATGAATACAGCTTCTCAAAAATAGAGGTTTAGTCAGTGAGGTGGCACACACCTGTAATACCATGGGAGGCTGAGGCAGAAGGATTGCAGAAGTTCAAAGCCAGCCTAAGCAATACAGAGAGATCTTTTCACAAAATTTTAAAAAGGGCTGGAGTGTAGCTCAGTGGTAAAGTTACCCTGGATTCAATCCCCTGTAAATCCCCCCCAAAAAGGTGGGGAGATGGCAAGGGATATAGCTCAGTGGTAAAGCACTTGCCTGGCACAAGTGAGGCCCTGGGTTCAATTCCCAGTACTGCAAAAAATAAATAACTAAATATAATAGAAACTTATGTTAAGCTAATCTTAGAACTGGGAAAACTTTTAGTGCATAAATATAGTAGACTGAATCTCAAGGATTATTGGCATATAAATTTTAGTTAAAAATCAGTTTTATGTTTAAAAATGCAAGCAAAAAGCAAACACTGAAAAATATTTGTAGCAAGTATAATAAATTTTACTACTCTTACTGTAAAAATAATTTGCAACTTGTAAAATGTGACTTCACATAAAATAAAAAAAGGGTTTAAACTGATAATTTATCAAAAACATATACATGACTATTCAAATTATTGAAAAAGTATTTAATCATTTTAGTCATGAAAAAGTAAATTAAAAAAAATTAAAATTAATTATGTGCAATCCTGGCAATAACAATAAGAAGATAAATGCTCCCATTTAACCATAAGGGATAGTTAAATGAGATATACCAGGGCTGACAGTGTAGCTGAGTGGTAGAGCACATCCTGAGAATGCCCAAGGCCTGTGGGTTCAATCATCAGCATCACAGAAGATACGGAGAAAGACTCACAAACATACTGTATAACTCAAAAAGATAATTTCAAAGAATTTTAAAGGCATGGAGAAAACCTAKACTGAAATATGAAATTCCCTGAATACAAAATCATATGGGAAAAAAAAATCTCAACTTTAATTTTAAAAAATCAATGCCTACAGAAACAATTAGGAAAGAATACATGAAATGTTGGTTGTACTTATTGTGAGGTATTTGTTATCCCAAAGGCAATTTTAATTTTCTAATAAGGGGTATATGTCTCACGCTCTGAAAAGTTATGCATAATAAAATATTCTTAGACAGCTTCTGCTGTGCCTGGAAATGGTCAGAACATAGCTGGTGTTTGCCATTCCAGGCACTGCATTTTCAGGGGTAACATGCAGAAACACTGCCATCTTTGGAGCAGAGTGAGCAAAGTGATGGGAAGGGGATGGTGATAACATGGATGAGAAGTAGAGAATATGAGAAAATAAGCTTAAGGCAAAGATGTTGTTACTCATCTGTCTTTAAGTATTTGAGCATCATCTATCATTTGAGAAAGGAAGTAGAATTAGCCTGCTTTGCTTTGGGAAAAAAGGAGGCAGATTTTGTGTGAATGAACATTTTCATCCTTTTTTTTATCCAGTACATTGCAGAGCAAGGAGATCTCTGTCTTCTCAATTGTCCAGGGTGGAAGGATAAAGTTTGTCTCTCCTGGCTCATTACTTGAACCTCATTCCAAAGATTCGCTGTTCCTCATTAAGACAGAGCAAGAGTGATATTGATTAGAAGGTCTCAGACTGAAATTTGAGAGCGTTGTATTCCAACCAACTGAATGAAAAGAGATGGCACATCATGTTTTTAATCAATTCAAATTTTAAATTTCACTGTATTGCAGATTTTGTTTGATATTTAGTAAACTAGGAATGGAGTGTCCAGGTGGAGGGAAAATAATTTGAGGTTTAAATTGTAGTTGCTATATGATCAAGCATATAGCAACATTTGCTCCTTGATTGACATTTTTTTTTCCTGTAACTGAAGTCCATTATTTTGTATGCAAAGTTAATATCTGATATTCTTTTAAGCAATAATCTGGTATTTAGTAAAACTAGGGCATGAGTTTCACACATGTGAAAGTAATCTAAATTCTCTACCCCATTCAGTCTCAACGATGCATATATAACCATTCTTTGGAAATGTCCCCACACAAAACACACATGAATGGTTTTGGAATTTTCATAATGTCAATTTTTAAGAGAAACTGAGGCAAAAATTGATTAAAAATTATTTGTATTGAACTGAGTTGCAACTCAGGAGACAGATTCAAGTAAGTTGAACA